CCCCATCATCTTCCTCTTCGCTACTATCAATTTCTACAAAATCATCTATCTCATCCACCAATTGCAATGTGACATTTTCCTTCCCTCTAATTTCTGGCTGCCGTTTAGTTTTCTAAGTATATTATTATTTGTTTGGGCCCAAAATGCCTTTTTAAACGATCCATTTTATTTTTTAAGAATGATCATTTCTAATTTCTTTTCATACAATTGAAAAATCAAATTTTGAATAAGGCGCAAGCCTCATGCTCCATGAGGCGTGTGCCTCAGATTTAGAGGCGTGAGTCTCATATTTTTAGCCTAAAAACTACCGCTTCGAAGCATACTACATGCGCCTCACAGTGAGAGGCGCGCCTTACTACCGCATTTTTAAACCATGCATGAGATCAAGGGGTAGTGCTTTGAATGTTAGAGCAAGTCTACAGCATAGGAACATATGTGGAGGAGGGTGAATTTTTGGTACCGCTACCACCATGTAAAGAGTTGAAATCTTCTTGGAATTTCTTTGACCCTGTTGATGAATGTGAGAACATCAGGTTTAGGGGGTACTAGTGATAGTGGTAGAAAATGGGGTAGTTGGGGGAGAGAGATTTTTTTATTTTCGATTGTAATTTTTTTAATTAGTTATTTGGTACTCATTTGTACTTTTTTGAAAAAATTGGGACTATTGTTGCAATTAATTCTTTAATTTTTTTGCTTTTTATTTTGTTTTATTTAAGGAGTGTATATTCGTCATTTCATAAGATTTTATTGAGAAAATAAAAGAAAATGTTGTATTCCGCATGTAAAAGGTCATATAGGGGATTTTTCGCCAATCTAAAAGGATAGAGGGTATTTCACAATAGAGTCAAAGGTTAGGGGGGTTTTGCACCAATTATCCAATTTCAAAATTATTCATTTTGACTCTCTTTAAGTGGATTTAACGCGATTATTAATGGGGATGGACGGCAGGGTATCTTCTAGCCCTTAAAGGTCATAAGGGGGTTTTTCGCTAATCTGAAAGGATATGGGTATTTTGCAATAAGAACAAAGGTTGGAGGGTTTTGCACCAATAACCCTTTGATTAGTTTATCAAAATTAAACATATTTCAA